CCCCTTCTCTCCAGGGTCCTCTTCCCTCCTGAACCTATGATGTCACCTTAGGCCTCAGGGCTTTGACCTGGGAGGGGCCATGGACAGGGTGTGGCTATGGCCCTGAGGTGAGGTTCAGAAGGAGCACTGGGAAGTCAGTGTCAGGGCCATGGAGAGGACCCTGGGCCCCAGGTGCCCACCCCGCCCAGCCTGCCCGCCTGCTCCTGGCTGCAGCCTGTGCCCCCATCTCCTGCAGCCACCTGGAGAGGCCCCCTGAACAGGGCAGCTTTCGTCAGTGCTCCCGTCAAGACCCCTCTGGTGAGTTCTGCAAAGCAGCGCCTGCTGGAGCCAATAGGCCCTGTGGGGAGCTTGTGGAAGATGCTGCTGCCACCATGTCCTCCTCGGCTTCTCTGGCTCCTGTGACTGAGTGCCCATTACCTCTGGCCTCCACCTTGTCACCAGGCCCTACCAACTCCTCAGTTTCCCTTCATTCCCGCTCATCCCTGAGTGCCTCTCGGCCACCAGAGCCTTTCCGTCCCCTGGATGACCTTTCACCCCAGCCACTTGCACTTTCCTGTTCCCCTTCACTTCCCCCTGACTCAGGGGCCCACTCTCCACCTCCCACAGCCTCCTCTGCCTCCCCACCACCAGCCTCCACTCTGACTCTTCCCCAGTGTGACTCAGTGGCACTGACACTGGGCCCCACCCAGCAGAATTCATGTCCACACACACCTCAGACGGCTTCCCACCCCAGCCATCTCAGGCCTTGGCCTCTCAAACTGTCCCATTTCAGCCCTGTCCTGGTGGCAGGTGGCTGCCAAAGCCTCATGCCTCTCAGCCTCATCACAGTGGGAGTCCCAGCAAGAGCGCCTGTCTCACCACCCACCGGAGGCCTCGTTCCAGGAAGACCCCACAGACAGACAGGCAGAGGCTGGGGGCCTCTCTTTGCTCAGCTCCAGGTCTGGGGCCATCTCCCATCCTCTCTACCAAACCTACCACCTTCTCCACCTCAGATGAGGGGCTGTGGAGTATCATGCCCGCCAGCCCAGAATAAGCCACACTCTTTAATCCCAGTTGAGATTCAACATCCAGAAAGGCCCTTGTTGCAGAAGCAAGTAGAAAGTGGGTGGGATTTATCCTCTGTAGTCAACAGATCTCAGGAAGTCTTCAGTATCTTCACTTCCAACCTTTCCAAGAACAGCATCCTTCCTGAGAATTTTCCAATCAGTCCTGAGCCCCGGAAGCAGCTGGAGCCACATCTCCAAAACTCACATATGCAACACAGCTGAGAGCTGTTCCCCAAGATCAGAGAACCTCCAGAACTAGGACAACATCAGAGCGAATTACCTTTGACATGTCAGGCAAAGGACAAGCATGAGCCCTCACAGCCCACTTCACTCACAGGTGAAAGCAGCAACGATGCACAGAACGTGGGGCTCCAGCTAAGCCCCCATACAGGGAAGGTCCCAAAAGATCTCTCCAGGGGCTCAGAAAGCTCCCTAGTGACGTTTCAGAGGGGAGACTCTGAGTGTGCATGGACCCTGGCTTCCTGTCAACCACTCTTATGCCAAGACTGACACTCACATGGCAACCAAAACTCTGGGAATCTTAAATGGCTGGGAACCCTGCATGAACGCCTCCCACGGGGCCTTCTTTCTCGATACAGACATTCAAAAGGTGCTAGAAGCACATGTTACAAAGTTCTGGGTGAAGCACGGGTGGGGCCTGCCCCTCAAAGTCCTCAAGCCCATGAGTCTCATTAAGTTGAAAAGGGCTCAAGCCTCACCCATTCTTGGGATGATAATGGTCCATAAAATTATATAGGTTTCAAGTATACAATTCTATGATACATCATCAGTATATTGCACTGTGTGCCCACTATCCAAAGTCAAATCTTCTTCCATCACCAAATATTTGACTCCCTTTACCCTTTACTACCTCCCACCCACTTCCCTCTGGTAACCACCATACTGTTATCTGTGTCTATGAATTTTTGCTTTTCTTATCTGTTCATTTACATTCAGCTATTTGCAACAACAGGGATAGATCTTGAGATTATCATGTTAAGTGAAATAAGTCAGAAAAAGTCAAGAACCATATCATGTCACTCATATGTGGGATACACTGAAATTTTTTTTCTTTATTCTGCATCTTTTTGGTTGTATTGCTCTTCTTTTTCTGGTTATTAAGGTGGAAGCTGAGATCAATTATTCAAAATCTTCTTTAATGTAACCATTTAGTGCAATAAAGTTCTAAGTACTCAATGAGGGAGATTCCACTAATTTGATGCTTTTTAATTGTTTGACTCTATTTCAACCCATGAGTGGTTTAAAGGTGTTTTACTTGGTTTTTAAGTTTGTGAAGAAATTCTAGAGATATTTCTGTTACTGGCTTCTAATTTAACTCTATTGTTGTTGTATTGAAATATAACACATCCTATTAAATTTGAGAGAAGTATCTCTTCCATTGTGACAACCAGCATATATATTTGTACTATTTTTCTAGGTAGGTTATAAGCTCCATGTGGGCAGGGCATAATCCAAATACCTTGTATAATGTCTGTTATGTATGTGTTTAATAATTGCTTATTATATAAATATTCAAAGGTCCCACACTTCAAATACCATCACACTGGGGACTAGGGCTTCAAAATATGGAGACTGGGGGGACACAAATATTCAGTCTATAGGGTAGGGGATGAAAAAAGAATTCACATATAAGTCATCCCTACTTCACAATTTTTTATTTTATTTATTTTTTTGCAATACCAGATCTGGACGTCCCTATAATGGGGCTGAAATTAATATCCAACAGTTTGGAAACATCACCAAATGAGAAACTATGTCTATTACTTTGACTAGTGGCAAGAATTCCAAAGGGATTGATTGAATGGATAATCTCCTTGTATCACCAAGTTGGGCTGACTGTGCCAATGTTTTGTTGCCTTGTGGATGGGACAGTCATATTTCTCTGCACTTAACCAGCTCAACCCTATACGGCTAGGAATGGCCCAAAGAGGAAGCCCTGGTCATTTCGCCTTGCTACCATCACTATCAGTGACTTCAAGGGGAAAGGTTGATTTTAAAATTAATGGTACATGGGAGCAATAGTGAGATTGTTGCTTAGTGGAGGGAGCCAACAAATGGGTGTTACAAAAGCAAACATTCTAAGATAACAGTGGTGCCTGAAGAGAGGCTTAGAACAAGTGAAAACTATGCTCTTAGCTTAGACTCAGGTGCATCTTGGGACAAAAGACTGCCAAAATTTCTTCCACTTTTAACTAAATGAAGGAGCTGTACAATGGCCAATCTAAGCACACTTTCAGGACTGATTTATCTCGTCCTTTTTATTCCATAAACAGATCAGAACTCAGATGACTATATGGAACAATACCAATGTAGCTGTCTCTTTTTTTTAAATATATTTTATTGATTTTTTTACAGAGAGGAAGGGAAAGGGATAGAGTTAGAAATATCCATGAGAGAGAAACATCGATCAGCTGTTACTTCTGCACACTCCCCACTGGGGATGTGCCCACAACCAAGGTACATGCCCTTGACTGGAATCGAACCTGGGACCTCTCTGTCCACAGGCCGACACTCTATCCACTAAGCCAAACCAGCTAGGACATAGCTGTCTCTTATGATTCTCATTCCATAGAACATTGTCTATGAGACAGAATAGGCTTAAAGATTTACACTTGAATGACAGATTGATCAGAATTCTTATTATTCAACAGATGTATACCATAAAGTGCAGACACTATAGATCTGGGAGCCCCCCAAAAAGAAAAGTGTAAAAATATAAAAATATGAGACAATCTGTATCAGCATTATAGGGTGGTCTAAATGATACAACCCCGCATTTGTTACTACAACTCTCTGAAATCTGTGTGTATTTTGACTATTTGATTACATGTTGTTGAAAGGCAAATGACTGTTGTCAAACTAAGAGTGATGTGTATTTTGTAAAAGGCTTTGACAAAAAATCAGGGGATTAAGTCCAGCAGACTTGGAATAGGCCTGACCTAAAGTATCTATACATCACTATTCATTAGTCCAAGATGAAATACATTAGTGTTGCTTTGTAACCATGGATCCAAGAAGTTTGGGGACGTGTTTGAACATCTTATCAACAGTGTTTATTGATAACAGTGCAACTGATCATTTATACCCATTCTCATTAAGATCTTCAGAGTCTGCTTACCTAAAAATACACCTACATACCTAGCACAATAGAAGAAACCTCGGCAGTAGATCAACTTTTGGCTTATAGGCTATAATGTGCACATGTTGGTTCTTACTAGATAAAATTATCTGTGCAATGGATAAAATTTGGAGCTTGTGCCTGATTTTTATCTAAACCCTTTGCTATGAAGCAACCTTTGGCTATGAAGCAATGTATCCTTTTTCCTTCATACAATAACATTTGTAAGTATTGCCATTTTGGGCCTGAGTCTTCTTTAGCAATTTAACTCTAGTTAACTGTCACTGTTAGTGCACCACGTTCCTTGGAATGTGGCAGTTCTGTAGTTTAAAGCCTTGTGGCCACTTCTCAATGTATAACCTTTTGCTCTCTCATGCGTTATCTACCCATAAGGCAGTGATGGCGAACCTATGACATGCGTGTCAGAGGTGACACGCAAACTCATTTTTTTGGTTGATTTTTCTTTGTTAAATGGCATTTAAATATATAAAATAAATATCAAAAATATAAACCTTTGTTTTACTATGGTTTCAAATATCAAAAAATTTCTATATGTGACATGGCACCAGAGTTAAGTTAGGGTTTTTCAAAATGCTGACACGCCAAGCTCAAAAGGTTTTCTGTCACTGCCATAAGGCATGTATAATCTAGTTCTTTTTTCATGTTTATTCAGTAGTCTCTTAAATTCCTTCCCTTATTTTCTGTGCTTTCTCAGTGTGCTTGTTGGTTTCTCCTTCTCTTGGATTCACAGTGCACTCCTGCCAGCAATAATTTTCTCTGGTTTCCTGAGCAAACAATGAAGTTTTATTCCTGTTTATCACAATAGGTATGATTACATTCTACTTGTGCTGTTGGGTTATTATCTTCTACTAGGGGCCCCGGTGCACAAAATTCGTGCACTGGGTGTGTGGGGGTGGGGGGAGTGTCCCTCAGCTGCCCCCTCTCACATACTGGGAGCCCTCAGGCATTGACCCCCATCACCCTCCAATCGCAGGATCGGCCCCTTGCCCAGGCCTGACGCCTCTGCCAGAGGTGTCCGGCCTGGGCAGGGGACCCTGATTTCCCCCCCCAACAGG